AGTTTGTGTCATGCCCAGAATCTCCCCAATGGTAGCCCTTAATCTCCTCAGACTGAGTATCTCCAGAATGTCGTTTGCCGGCTACTGAAATGGGCCATGACAGTTATCGAAGAGGAGGAGAGAACTGCCTCAGCCAGCCCCAAGCTATCTATCACCTCCTTCACTCACCTCACCTCAACCTTTTTCCAAAACCCTAAACCCTCATTTCAATGTTATCCTCTGTAAGCATTGGCAAAGGGTGCGTGCTTCTCCCACCGACTTGCAATTGTGCTCTGTCTGTTTGTTTTGGGTGTGTAAGTTGTGCAAGGAGGGAGGGGGATATGTACCCTACATGGCAAATATGCCAAATAAGACATTGTGCCTGACAAAGGGTAGCCATTTACGAGTTGCACCGGGATAAGATCATGGTTGTTCCGGACCCGGACAACCGGACATCCAGACACGGACACCGGACCCGTGTCTGGATCAAACCGGATCTGGTTAACCGGACACAAAACTGGACATCCAGACATCCGGACCCGTACAGTTCAGTTTGATGTGCCCGTGTCCGGTTGTCCGGGAAAAAAAGAAAAGAAAAGAAAAAAACAGGACATAGGCACACGCAGGTTCGTGGGACTGGTCGAACATGCTAATGAATTCAACTGTTTCAACAGTAATCAAATTGAAAATGTCAAGTTTATTAACGCCTTCACTGGCATGCTTCGGCATCCTGCAAAAAACGAAGCACAAAAGCAAGCACGGCTTTTGTTAGAGCCAGTGCCTCCCCCACATCCCAAACTCCCTTTCACCCCATCCCATCAAACAATCAATCAATCAACCGATCAATGGATTGATCAATCAGTCGACCAATCAATGGATCGATCAATCAATCTACCAATCAATGGATCGATCAATCAATCGATCAATCAATGGATCGATCAATCAATGGATCAATCAATCAAACAAATCAATCAATCAATTGATTGATCAATCAATCAATCAATCAATCAATGGATTGATCAATCAATCAATCAATCAATCAATGGATTGATCAATCAATCAATCAATCAATCACTCGATCATCAATCAATCGATCAATCAATCAGTCAATCAATCAATCAATCAATCAATGGATCAATCAATCAATCAATCAATCGACCAATGTACCAAGCAAAGAGCTCGAACGCACCAAGATTCCATCCAAATAAGAGCAAAGCAGCGAATGTACCAAGTAGAGAGCTCAAACGCACCAAGATTCCATCCGAATAAGACCAAAGCAGCGATCTCATTTGCCAATGTTATCGCAAACGAATTGCGCAAAAGGTCCAGATAGTCATGTACCAAGCAGAGAGCTGGAACGCACCAAGATTCCATCCAAATAAGAGCAAAGCAGCGAACTCGTTTGCCAATGTTATCGCAAACGAATCGCGCAGAGGTCCAGATAGTCATGTACCAAGCAGAGAGCTCAAACACACCAAGATTCCATCCAAATAAGAGAGAGAAGAGAGAGAGAGAGAGAGCTGGTGTGTGTGTGTGTGTGTGAGTGAGAGAGAGAGAGAGAGAGAGAGAGAGAGAGAGAGAGAGAGAGAGAGAGAGAGAGAGAGAGAGAGAGAGATTGACCTCGATGGTGGACCTTCGACGGCAAGACGGCGATGGTGGAGCTCTGACAGGCAGACGGCGGCAGGGCAGACCTCCACGGCAAAACGACGACGGCTGTGCTGCGGGCGGGGACTTCGACGTTCGGAAAATCGCGTCCTCCTCCCGCCAGCGGTGCTGCAGTATGCTCATACGATTTTGAAAAATCCACTCACACAGTCTCACAGGCCCTTTCAGGGCATGTCCGCTTGGGGTACCGACCTTCAAAAAACATCAGCTCCAATTTTCCGGGCTACCCTAGGCGCAGGTGAACGGTCTGGGACCCCTATTTTTTTTTTTTTAATTTTTTGATTTTGGGGTCCAACCGGACCCTCCAATCCGGACACCGGACTGTCTGGATCGGGATCCGGACGTCCGGTTGGTAGCCATGGATAAGATGCTTCTATGCTATTTTCCACTCCAGCTGATGGGATTCTCTGTGCAAGCAGTCTGGGCCCTGGAAATTGTCAGGCTAGTTGTCTGAATTACAGACAAATTGTCCAGGGCAAGCAGATTGAATTACAGGCAAATTTTTGTCAGGGCACGCAGGCTAAATTACAGGCAATTTTTTGTCAGGGCAAGGCAGAGTGAATTACAGGCAAATATTTGTCAGGGCAAGCTTTCTTTGGGACGGTTGATGGTCATTTCAGAGCAAGCAGTCCGAATTACGGACAAAATGTACGGTCGAGCATTCCGGGACAGCTACAGGCGCCTACCGTCTTCCCCTGAACATGACGCATATGCGTTGTAAACGAATACGTACAGCGCAGGGTCGCTTTCTATTCGAATACAACACATCGGTTGCTTGCTATTCGAATACAGCTCATATGCGTCATTGTTTTCAAAAAGAATGTGTATGTGTTCTTCTCGGACTCTTGATTTTTTTGAAAACTCGAATATATACAACGCTGTGTTATCTCCGCGGGAAGACGGGTAGCCTGAACTACGTCAGTCACAGACTTTATGCTTTAGTTGATATAGGAACATTGGATGATGAGCGCCGACCGGGTAGCGCCGTTTCGCGAAGCAAGCACGGGCGCCGCACGGGAGCGAGCACAAGCGCCCAGAGAGGAATCGCGCCGCGCGACGACGCGCGCGCTCCATAGCCCATTCGGAAGTCGGAGAGAGTGGGGGTTCTGGTGGGACTCCTATGTAAGCGCTAAGCCACGCCTGCGGGCGTGGCCATTTTCATTTTCATTATTCAGGAGATAGGGAGAGAAAAGACAGGGATTGACGAGAAAAGAAAGGAGGGAACAAGTAGAGAGGAAGAAAAGAGGAAGATAGAGGGGGAGGACGAAGGAGGTAGGGGTAGAGACAAGAAAAGGAGGGCGCAAGCTTAAGAAAGAGGATTTAACGGCCACCATCACCCGGTTAAAGGAGAGGCGACCACAGGATTTAGTTCTCCTTCAACGGAAAGCAAAGCGTGGATCCAATCTGATCGAGGTATCGGAGCAGAATAGTCAGCGAGCAACATTTCAAGTGAGATCAGTCACTATTCCCTACATCCACCACCATCGCCTACACGTACCAAACTAACCCGGCCCCCCCGGAACCAACGGATGTCTCAGACCCGTGCACCAACCCAGGGCGCAACCATCCGTCATCACCGCGTACCATCCCCATCATCATCATCTGTCTCGCCCTCACACAATCCACTTTCCACCCCGTTCTCACTTCCCGCCCACTCCTCACTCCTCCCCCACTCCGGCGTGAACTCGTTCCCTTGCCCTAAGACGTTGCAAGCCCAATGCAATCCAGCGCACGCATCTAAATCCCAATCATCCCCACTCTAGCCCCGTCCCCTTCCCATCTCCCACCCCGAGATTACCCCCTATCCCTCCCTCCACCCTGTTTCAAACCCATCCAGGTCCCATTCCCCTTCTCATCACGCTCCTACCGCCTCACAACCTTAATCCAACGACCCAATCCTCCTCCCGGATCTCAATTTTCTTCGATCCGAGCCCATCACAAGCGCCTTCCTCCCAGACCTCACCCCATCCCGATCCCTTTTTCTGATTCGACTCCATCTCATCACGATCTCACCACGATCCCAACGCCCACCCTTTCCTCTCTGTCCACCTCTCCCTCATTCCATAGCAGACCCGACCCTCTCTCCTACGTCCAAGTCACTCCTCTACGAACCAGCTCCTGCTTTTAACATCAACAAGATCCCACCCAATCTAAGCCCATCCTTGGCCCGCGCAAGACCCCATCCCCCACCCCGACCCTGTCTCCAGCCCCCCCCACCCCTCACTCCGACCCTACCCCATCACATTCCCGCTCCTGACTTCATTCAGTTCCCACTGCCTCACGAGCGCGATCTAACTTCCAACTCGACCCCACCTTCGATCCGACCTCATCCCATCCCGCGCTCATTATCCCCTTTGATACCATCACAGCAGCAGACCTTTTTCACCCCACACTGATTCCATCCCACCAAGATCCCATCCCCCCATCCCCCGGTCCTTTCTTCTAACTCACTTCGAATCTAACCCGATCCCAACTCCTCTCGACTCCCATCTGTCTCACCTGGATTCCAATGCGCGGTGTCTGACTAGGAAAATTTCCCTTTTTCAATGAACTTTGTTCCTTGCCTTGATCCAGTGCCTGACCGGTTATTTTAAAAGCCGATCCCCAAGCGGGGAGGCAAAACTATGGCAAACTATGGCAAAATTTTAAATCCCAAGGCTTTCTCTCCGTCTCCTGCTGCGCACAACTCCCATCTTTATCTTCAGCGCCGCTTATTTTCTGATCCTTTCCCACCACATCAACAGCCTTCTTCGGCCCCTCGCCGATTCCACCCCACCACGATTCCAACCCCTGTTCCAATCTACTTACCAACATTCAATCTAACTCATTCTCAACCCCAATCGACTATCATCAGTCTCATAATCTCACCAGTCTCGCCTGGACTCTAATGTGTTGTGTCTGATTACGAGAATTCTTCCTTTTCAACAAAATCTGAACTTCACCTTGATCTAGGGCTTGACTGGCCTTCGTGGCTAAAAACCAATCCCCAAGCGGGGAGGCAAAATAATGCCAAATTTTCGCTTGAAGCTATGATCTCGTAAATGCCAACAGTAGCTCTGTATGAAGTATTCACTCCCTTCTGTTTCCAGCCTTGCAAGAGTTCTACACAGACCCATATCTTGACCCCAACATATCTTGACCCCAACCATTTTTACTCCGTACCATTCACCGCTTCAATCCTCAGCCTCATTGCAAAGCCGAACACGGCTTTGGCGTCAACTGTCCTAACTTTGTCCCAAAAAGACATCCTCAGAAATGGCGATCTCGTACTCCCAGGCAGCTCAAAGGGCAACGAGTGAGAAAGAGAAGCGCGACTTCGCAAAAGGACAGGGTTGAGGGACTACAAGCCATTTAGGGCGGACGCCATCGTACTCAGGCACGGGCTCGAAGATGGAAGCTGCCAAGCCACAAACTTTGGGGCAAAGGGCAATGGAATTCTTGATGGAGAAAACTCAGATCATGGCGGAGATCAAAGTATCAAAGGATGTGATCAAGGGGGAGGGAGGAAAGGAGGAGGAAGTGGAGGTGTGGGAATACCCAGAGGAGGATATCCAATCTCTGAATGAGTTGTACGAGAAGCACGCGGTGCTTTTCAACTTCTCGGGACGAAGTAGGGAGCTCTCTCTGAATGAAAAGAGAAGATGGGTGATGGATAGGCTAATAGCCATGGAAGAAGTCCTTGGGAAGGAACCAGAGGTATCATACCACAAGGATGGGAAGGTTTACAGTCATGATCGTCTGCGTTGATCCAACTTACGCGCAGTACCTGATATCGATCGGATCGCTGAAATGCAAGGGGTCGGTGGTGACAATCCAACCTTGGAAACCACCAAGACCACCGCAAGTGGAGGCTTCAAGACATAGACAATCCATGCTGAGAAACCACTTCTGGGTTCAGTTTGACAATCTGTCAGAAGGGATGCACAACTTCGTTCAAAGCAGGCTGAAAGCAGAGTATCCTAACAACCCAATCATCGAGTGGCTCCCGGCCAACCCGGACTTCCTGGCACCAAATCACGAYGCAAGAGTGGCTTGCTTGGAAGTAACGTCAGGGGCGCCGCCAAAATTCCCGGACCAGTGGATTTTCAAGAAAAGTGGGCAGAGAGTTACAGTTTTCATCTCAGCCAAGACCAATCCTTTTTGCTTCAAATGCAGGGGCAGAGGTCATCTGGGTACTTCATGCCCACAGGGGGGCTCAAGAGAAGAAGGGGGGAAAAGGATGGCATTGAAGCAATCGATGATGCAGGAATGTGAAAACAAACCAGGAGTATGGTACATAAATGCAACACAGTATAGAGGTTGGATCTTTGATGACAATCTGGAAAACCCAAAGTGGGTGTGGGTGATGAAGGGGGAGCCAACAGTCAAGCCGGACATCTACCCTCCTTACGACAGCAGGTGGAGGAACACAGGTGCCAAACGTATGGAGGATAAGGAAACGGGTTTTGTAATCAAACCCATGTTGGAAGAAAAAACAATGCAAGATGTGGAGCAGAGATTGAAGCTCATGAGGGAACTACATGAGGTTGGGAAGAACGCAGAATTGGCATTCTTGGAAAACGCAGAAGCCAGGGCGCAGCAGCAGGGACAGRCAAGAGGCAAGGAGGAGGGGTCAAGGGAAATGAAGGAGGATGAAGGGGACAATATGGAMTGTGAGCAAGGAGGGAAGGGGGGAACAGAGAGAGGAAGCACATCCACAAAGAGGAAGGGAGTGACAAGAGGAGAGGATGGGTCTACCACTCAAGGAAGTGAGGCACAACAGGGAAGAAGGAGACAAAAGACCCAATCCGGAAGGGGAACCACTACAGAGGAGGAAGAAGAAGAGAGCAGAACCAGCAAAGAAACTTGGGGTTTCTTGGGGAAGGAAAAGGAAGCAGATTCAGGCTCACTTGGCACAGCCTAAGGGAAACAGCTCAGGAGAAGGAAGGTACAGGCATGATAGGGGAGGGAGAGGAGGACTTGACAGAAAAGGACAACCCAGAAGGATCCTCGCAACACGAAGAAGACAAAAGTGGTTCTCAGAGTGACCAGGGCACCCAGGGTCAGGGACCATTGGAGGATGAAGCAAAGGTAAGAGAAAGGGCGAGAAAGAGGGGGATGCAAAACATTGAGAACATGACAGTGGATCATATTTTGCAGGCAGAGGAAGACCAGAGGGAGAGCTCAGAGGATTCAGAGAGCGAAGCCGCATCAGCCTCATCAGAGGACGACGAGGAAGAGGAGGAGGAAGATCAGGAAGATTCAGATGTGGAAGATTGGACAAGAGAACGATGGATAAAGGAGGTGGAAGAGCTGGAATGGGGAAGGACGATCGAATGCGAAATCAGGCTGGCCCATCATAAACACCTGAGGAACCTCCAACAAGCCACACAAGTAGGGGGGGACATCACATTTGAGAACAGGTTTGAACTGCTTAGGACGGAGGGGGAAATCATTGAGTTTTATGCATCTCAGTACGCAAGAAAGAGCTGCACAGTAAGAAATGAGATCCACATTCAGCAGGAGGAATATGAGAGGTTGTTTCAATGGCCAAAGACATACCGCAACAAGGAAAGGAAGAGGGAGGACAAGAAACGGAAGGCACAAACGACAGAAGAGCAAGGCAGTATAACTAAAGGGGTGAATGACTCAATGGAGGATGCAGCCATGGAGGAGGATCAGGAGAAGGGAGACAGAGAAGAGGAAGATGTGCAGGACCTGAGAAGACAAGCCGCTATTCTGGTGGTGCAGGTCAACTTACTCAAGGATGAGAACAGGGAGTTGGAGGACGATACAGTGAACATACAAAAAATAGCAAAGGGTCAGTGGAAGGAGATAGAAGCTGCGGCCCGACTGGAAATTAAGAATGGGACGAGGAGGAGAGTGGTCTTACCCTGTCGATGGAATGCAAGGCACTTGGATTGGGAGGTGGCTATCAACCAATCTTTGCAATTGATAACGACTCCGATGGACGAATGCTCAGGCTCAGATCTGCAGAGGTTAATAGGGGGAGAGGTGCCATTGAGAGGGTTTATATTGAGAGAGGGAGAAGAGGAGCCGATGGCAATGGGGGAGGACAGTGAGGAGGAGGCAACAACCGATTTCGGACCACTGCTACTCCAAATGGAGGCTGATTCTGAATTAAGAGAAGGTTTGATCTGGATGCCTTGGCAAGTGGTGGAGACCATCCCTTACGGGCTGCTGGGGGGGGAAGTAGGTGCGGAATGGGTGGCGAGATGTACAACGGTAGCGGTGAAGATGGAGGTTTTTGCTTGGAAGCCAGAATTCTTTGAGTAGAGGGTAAGTGATGTAGCAACAGTTTTAGAGCTCACAAATACCTGAGCAAGGAAAATTAGAAAGAGAATTCGCATCCTAACACGGGGACCTAATGGAGGGAGGTGGGGAAGAGAGACCAAGAAAGCAGAGAAGCAGAACTAAAGGGGGAACAGGTCCACCAGAAATCAGGATAGCTTCATGGAATGTGAATGGGATGGTGGCGATTCTAGAGAATAGTGACAAATGGCAAAATGTAGTGAATTACTCAGGATGGTACACATTGTCACCACCAGATTTTTTGTGCTTGCAGGAAACACATCTTCAGGATTCGGAAGAGCACCAGAAAACGAAGCTCAAGATTGAGAAGAAGCTGCAAGGAGTTAAGGCGGCATGGTGGGCTCCGGCAGCAAGCAACCATTCCACGGGTGTAGTCTTACTACAAAACCAAAGAGCGACGGCATCAGACAGGATTCGCATCACGGAAGCAAAGGTGGACGAGGAGGAGGGTAGATGGGTTAAGGTCGACTTTGAGTTGCATGAAGAACCCTACACGTTACTCTCGGTTTACTGCCCGAATAATTCCCAGCAGAGAGAGGATCTGATCGAAAGGCTGAAAGAGCTCCTAGAGGGGGATAGGCATTTGATTCTAGTGGGAGACTGAAACGCCACCTTAGATCCCAGCTTGGACAGGCTATCGGGAGGGGGTAGGTCAAAGGAGGAGGGGGGGACAGAAGAATCACTACCGATTCATAGGCTAATGACAAATCTAGAACTAATAGATCCCTATAGGTTGTATTACCCAGATGAAAGATAATTCACTTATCGCAAGAGGAACTGAAGCCAACACGTATCGACTTCCCGAATAGACTATTTCTTGACGTCGGCCGGAGTAATAGGCATGTTGCAATCAGTGAGTATAGGTAACTTACCGTATGGATTGGGTCTGGATCACAAACCTATCCATTTGAGTCTGTCACCCGACAAACAAATCAGCAGGGGTAGGGGGTTCTACAAAATCAACAACTCCCTCCTGAAAACCCGGGAACTGAGACAGGCGATTCTACAAGTGTGTCAGGAACACAATCCAGACACACAAACATTCCCAGAGCTGCTCTGGGCATTATCTAATG